GATGCAACTTCAAAATGTTTATTTATCTATGCCGATTTTCTTGTTGATATCGGTACGCATATAACGTTGATTCCGGTACGCATACAACGACAGATCTCTATTCACATACACGACGACTATTCACAATCGACTTGTAAAGAAATGATATCATCGAGAGTGAATGAAGAATCATTGGCACTCGACTTATCTTATCTGCCGTAACGCACTTCCGTTGCATTTGCACGGATTTACACTCTAGTCGCACCTAAAGAAGTTATACTTCAATAACTATATATATTATAAGTTATTAAGTTATACTTCAATACTATATATAGTTGATTATAAACGTTTATCCCGAGCAATAATTATTGTTCTTATGATTATTATTAATGTAATAAGTACTGACTGAGCTACCCTCGCCATATACATATGATAAAGTTTCTGTATTTTGTTTTTTCTTATTGTTTATTTTTTAAATTTTAGATTTATTTACATTCTATTAGATATAACATTGTCCATATTTTTCAACAGAAGTATTTTTTCATTTTTATATTTTTTTTTACTTTGAGCACTGTTGTTTAGTTTACGATACCCGAATATAATAAGGTTTCAATTTGAATTATTTTTACCAACTTTTTTTTTATCCCAGGGCAAGATCTACCAGGAGCAGACAGACTGGCAGCTCTAGAAGAAAAGTTGAATAAATACTCCGGAATGATGTCTGGTATGGATACATCATTCAATAAGCAAATGACAGGATTCCAAAAACAAATGGCAGATTTGGAGAAAGAATTGGGCGCGATTTTGGAAAGGATCAACTCTGCAGGATTGCCCATTGGTGATAACCAACTTGGCCAAGAATTTACCGGTAAGGGAAATGAAAGATATAATTTTGTAATTTTATTTAACTACTAGATGACCCGACATACGTTGTCCTGTACCCATGTCTACAATTTTTAATATAATATACTAATATTTACCGTTTACCTAAAAATAATAATTATTGTTTTTTAAATTACTCTTCATGCCAAAATGCGTACACATCTACAATATGAGCGATGTTAAATGTAGAACTGCTTTAAATAAAATGATGAGTCTCAATTCCCAAAACTATATTGGAAATTGAAGTCTTTTAAACGGTATAACATAACCATAACACTGGTACTTCATGTTGGATCAAATTCATTTAATTTTATATTATTTAAGATATCCAAAATTGCATCTTAAACTTTTACTAATCGATATCGTGAGGGCCGAATTGTATGTATTCAGCTTTACTTTCCCATTTCTTGCTTTAAAGTGAAATTTTTAACGTATTTTAAAAATATTGTGCAAAGATTAGTAAAAGATGCAAAGAAATTATACATTGAAAAAAAAAACTATACTAAAAATTTAATATCCGAATCTTGTGTTGGCGCCCCTTAAGGCGTGCGCTCGTATTTTTTGCATGCATCGCATTTAAGGTGGGACCGGCCCTGATTAATACTTAATTTTATATTTTAAATGAATTAATTTGTCATATCCTGTTCATATGTGTATTATTTAATCTGCCATACATATATTGAATTTTATATCATTTTAATTTCTAGCACATCTCAGCAGCTTTTTGGCAATAATAATGTAGACATTTCATTTTTCTTATTCATAATCATAAATTTATTATAAATATTCTAACATTGTCTAGCTTCATAAGTAAATTGAAATTTTTGGCAGATGATAGTTTTCATTTGTTTTTAATGCAAACAATGACATGTCGTTTTTTATAATTTTTTCTATTTATTTCTACAATATTGCACATACATCCGAGTACTTTGTAATCACATACAACCTACAAATTTTTTTCAACAAACTTCAGAAAGATCTATCAAAATCCGAATAATAGTTTAGAAGGAGTTTACAGTGAGCACTTATCATTTGATATGAACTCTATATAATAGCAATAAAGCTTAAATTGATTCTACGTTTTAGTTAGAAAACGTTTGTATGAGAAAAAGAAAAGCGGCTGTTTTCAGGGTTTTTCCAGTAGTTATTCGTTTTTTTCTCGCCGTAAGAACCATCATTGGACTTTAACTAACATTTTAAAAAAATAATTGACCAAATTGGTTCATGTGTTGTTGAGTTATGCGCTCACCAACACATTTTGCGATTCATTTTTATATATAAGATGATTTATTGATTGTTCATTTTAGGTCTTGGTGAGTTATACGAAAAGATACAAATCTTGCAAAGTGATATGGAGAACATCAACTCAACTGCAACAGCCCTTATGGACGACCGAGAACAACGCCAACAGCACATCAATGTAAATATACACTTTTCCTCTACTAACCAAGTATTGAAATTAACTAGTAAATTTTATTTCAGGCCCTTCTGGAGCAAATCGAGTTCCTCAAAACTTGTAAAGCTGACAAGGAAGATTTGGAAGACGCCTTGGCTGATAAGGCTGATCATCATCTGGTTAACAGAAAAGTTTCCCATGATCAATTTGATGCTGCCTGTGATGACTTGTCAAGAGGATTGGAAGAAGCATTGTCTAAACTCACTCAGCAAGTAAGATAAATATATGAAAATTACTTCAATGAGTGAGTATAGTAAAATTACTTCAATGAGTGTAGTAAATTTACTACAAAGAGCGTAAATTACTACAATGAGTATAGTAAAGTTACCACAATGAGTGAATTTGTTGAATATAGTAAAATTAAAACAATGAGAGTAGTGTATAGTAGAATATATGAAAATTACTACAATGAGTGAGTATAGTAAAATTACTTCAATGAGCGTAGTAAATTTACTACAAAGAGCGTAAATCTACTACAATGAGTATAGTAAAGTTACCACAATGAGTGAATTTGTTGAATATAGTCAAATTAAAACAATGAGAGTAGTGTATAGTAGAGTATATGAAAATTACTACAATGGGTGAGTATAGTAAAATTACTTCAATGAGCGTAGTAAATTTACTACAAAGAGCGTAAATCTACTACAATGAGTATAGTGAAGTTACTACAATGAGTGAGTTTGTTGAATATAGTCAAATTAAAACAATGAGAGTAGTGTATAGTAGAGTATATGAAAATTACTACAATGAGTGAGTATAGTAAAATTACTACAATGAGCGTAGTAAATTTACTACAAAGAGCGTAAATCTACTACAATTAGTATAGTGAAGTTACTACAATGAGTGAGTTTGTTGAATATAGTCAAATTAAAACAATGAGAGTAGTGTATAGTAGAGTATATGAAAATTACTACAATGAGTGAGTATAGTAAAATTACTTCAATGAGTGTAGTAAATTTACTACAAAGAGCGTAAATCTACTACAATGAGTATAGTAAAGTTACTACAATGAGTGAATTTGTTGATTATAGTAAAATTAAAACAATGAGTGTAGTGTATAGTAGAGTATATGAAAATTACTACAATGAGTGAGTATAGTAAAATTACTTCAATGAGCGTAGTAAATTTACTACAAAGAGCGTAAATCTACTACAATGAGTATAGTGAAGTTACTACAATGAGTGAGTTTGTTGAATATAGTCAAATTAAAACAATGAGAGTAGTGTATAGTAGAGTATATGAAAATTACTACAATGAGTGAGTATAGTAAAATTACTTCAATGAGTGTAGTAAATTTACTACAAAGAGCGTAAATCTACTACAATTAGTATAGTAAAATTACTAAAATGAGTGAGTATAGTGAGTAAGATAAATAGATAGAAATATAAATTAGATAATATGTTTTCTTTAAAATTATCTTTAGATACCGTGAACTAAACAACAGTGCTCAAACTAAAAAAAAGTAACCACAAAAAATTAATTTTTTTGAAAAACCGACAATGTGGTCGTTTATCTCGTGATAGCGATGTCATTTAATTTGTGGTTACACATCTTTTGCCCTCTACTTTAAAATAGTATCTCTCAAAAATTCCATACTTTACTTGTTCTTGAGACAATGCTTGTGGACCTTTTTATTTCTATAATTTTAGATATTTTTAACATTCCATAGGTTCCATATAGTTATAGTAATCGCAAATAAATAAAAAATGAAATGTTTTGCATATCTTTACGTTTCAGAGATTTCTGAACATTTTGGCATATCTTATTTAGAAAAAGTGGATGTTTGTGTGTGTGCATGTGAACATTAGACATATGTACATCGTATTATCAGAAATTTTATAAAGATTATAATAATAAGTACAAGTTTTGTGTACATTTATATGGGTTCTGTACCAATGTTACATCTTAGACGTCTACGCGGCACTTTCGCGCTTTGATTTTTCGACTTCATATCAGCTATGCATAAAAAAACTTTTCTAAAAAAATTAAAATATAAAAAAATCGAATGATAAAAAAATTAATTTTTTCAAAAAAGGCAACATTTTTTCGAAAATTTAAAAAATCTAATTTTTTTCAAAGTTTTCGAGTTGAGTTTCGAATAATCGAGTATTTTTTCAAGTAAAATCAGTTTTTTTCATAAATAAAATTATAAACAATTTTTGGAATTAGGAATATAAACAAATTAAAAAAAAGACCAATCAAGGGTGTATACTAAACAAAAATTATATTCAATTCATGATATCAAATTTTTCTAGCAAAGACTTCAAAACGTTTCGACTCTCAGTTTGATTCATCATCAGTGGACATAACAAATATCAAAATTTTATAAAAAAATAAATCTATTGCAAAAAATAACTTTACTTAATAAAAATTAATAAGAATGAAAACAAAATTTGAAAAGTTTATTATACATAGGTAGCGAGCGTAGCTCAGTCAGTAGCAGGCCCGACTCACACGCCATGGATACTCGGTTCGAGTCTTGGCACTGACATTGAATTGTTGATTTGAGACAGAACAGAATTAGATTGTCCTCTAATTTATGATAATATACATATTGAAATTAAAATATACGGATAAATATTTGAATTATTAATTCTGTACGTTTCGACACTGTATATGTCTCATTATCAAGAAAGATTATATCAGGGACCGAACACATAAATATAAATAAAATAATTTTGCAATAAAACAATTAAGCATAACTGTAAAAATAAACATTAATAAAAAAATTAAAGAATTTATTCTATACGTTTCGACACTCTATGTGTGCCATCATTAAGAAATTTTATATCAGGAGAAAAAACACAAGAAAATAAAACATTGTTTTGTAATGAAATAAGTAAGCGTAAGTGTAAAAAATGAAAATTAATCAAAAAATTGAGCTATTTATTTTGTACGTTTCGACACTGTATGCGTGCCATCATCAAGAAAGTTTATACCAGAAAGAAACACACAAAATAAAACAGTTTTGTAATGAAACATGTAAGCAAAACTGTAAAAACTTAAATTTAATAAAAAAATGGAAGTATTTGTTTTGGACGTTTCGGCACTGTATGTGTGCCATCATCAAGAAAGTTTATACTAGGAAAAAACTTACAAAATAATAGAGTTTTGTAATGAAACAAGTAAGCAAAACTGTACAAAATAAAAATTAATTAAAAATTGAACTATTCATTTTGTACGTTTCGACACTGTACGTATGCCATCATTAAATAATTTTATACCAGAAAAAACTCAAAAATGAAATCATAATTTTGTGATAAGACAGTTAAGCAAAATTGGAAAAAATAAAAATGAATAAAATAAACTTGGACTATTTATCTTGTACGTTTCGGCACTGTAGGTGTGCAATCATTTGTTTTTGTTTAGAAAGAATTAGTCTTATATAAGTTATCTTGGTGATTTATATAAATTTGATTTTTGTCCAGGAAACTTTATGGCAACAAGCTCTGGACGATGTCCAGAAGGAAATTGAAAACAAGCTGGACAAAATTGAAATCTCGCCTCTCAAAGATTTTGTCAATAATAAATTAAAGGCTCTTCAGGATCGCCTTAAAGCCTTGGCATCGCTCAAGAAGGACTCGGAAGCTGCTGGAACGAAAATCAAACTTTTGAGGTATTTACTTCCTATAACTCAATTTTTTACAAATATATTATTGGTCTTTAATGCAATTGTCTCTAATTTGATTTTATTTTAAATTTTACAATGGACAGATTCCGATACAAAATTGACCTCAGACTTTGATCTTGACATTCTCTCCAAAGATACGACACGACATTGACAATCATATTATTGGCCATATGCATCCGAATGATTTATGTCAAATTTAAAGATTATTATGACTATTTCCGTACAATTCTGATAATTGTTTTATTATGTGCTGATTGCAGTTATCAATTTGCATATGATCTATAATGAACTTTCTTAAAATCATGATACCTTTAGCTTCATTTAAAAAAAGAAGGTAAAAAAGAATTTACCTTCTTATTTAATTTTAGAATTTTTTTAGGTCAGATGGGTTGACACTTTATTTTAACAAAATTCTCGGTTATTTAATTTTTTATACACATAAAAATTATTTTGTTAAAAGACTGCATAACTTTAAAATTATACACAAAATATTTATATAATTTTCGTATATTTTTTACGTTTACATCTTTATATACATCTCCTACATGCACTTAAATATTTATATCTTAGCCAAACTCTCGGTATAAAAATGAACAATAAATATTTGAACAATTATTTTTATACGTTTCGATACTGTATGTGTGTCATCATTGAACAAATTTATGCCAGAAAAAAAACACACAAAAATTATTTTTTGTAGAAAATATATACACAAATAATATAATTAAAAGCCGCATCTACATTTTAGACCTATTTTTAATCTAAAAATAATAATAATAATATCACGAAACCCAAAATTTTATTAATCTTAACTTTGTTATTAAAATTATTAATAATCTAATATTTTAAATTTATTTTCATGTCCAAGTTTTGCTTTTTTATTTCATCACAAAACTATGTTTCATTTTTGGGTGTTTTTTCCTGATTCTTGGTAATGGCACACATACAGTGTCGAAACGTACAAAATAAATAGTTACATTTTTTTAAATCTATTTTTTACAATTTTGATAACTTGTTTCATTACAAAACACATACAGTATCGAAACTTACGCGATGATTTTTTTTATTTTTTACAATTTTGCTGACTTGTTTTATCACAAAACAATGTTTTATTTTTGTTTTTTTTATATAAACTTTAAAAATAAAACTAAATTAAATGACAATTTTATGTCAGTGCCAGGACTCGACCCAAATATTTCTGACGTCAGAGTCGGGCATGTTACTGACTGAACTATTCCCGCTTCAAATTCAAACAACTCAAAATTTACTTAATTTCAATTAAAGTGACAATTTTGTGTCAGTGCCAGGACTCGAACCGAGTATTCTTGGCGTGTGAACCGGGCATGCTACTGACTGAGCTAAGCCCTTCATCTATATACCATTAAAAGTTTGTCTATGATTTTTTTTATTTTTTAAGTCATCTATTATTTTTGGCAATAGATTTCTTTTTTATAAACTTTATTTTGTGGTTTGATACATTCTCGTGATGAATCAAACTGGGGCATTAAACGTTTGAAAGTCTTATTAATATAAAAATCAGAATTCATCAATTGAATATAATTTTTGTTTAGTATAAACACTCATCTCAATTGTTTTGTTTTTTAATTTGTTTTTATTCCTAATTCCAAAAATTGTTTATGTTTTTTTTTAAATTAAAATATGTTGCAATGTGTAATATTTTATCTATTTTACTATAAAAATGTAATTTCAGATAAAACTAATTGCATACATTGAAAACTCGTTCGAAATAAAAGTCGTTGATTTATGTTATCTAGTGTTATTAAAATATTTCATCAGCTAATTTATATAATTTATCTAGAAAATTCGCAATTAGTTTAAAAAAGTCTAAATATGATGATTGGACGATTTGCAAAATAACTTAAAGACTATATTGGTACTTATAAAAACATTATGTAATATTGGAATAGTTTAACACATTCATACATGCATTTGACTGCTTTGCTCTTTTTTACATTTTTTTTAATTTACAACTAACATGCCTTGAAATGATTTTATTTTATTTTAAACGAATAAAAAAGTTTAGCACAAGGGGAAGTATAAGTTACACTAGATTGGCAGTTAATGTGTTAAGCAAATTTGTTTAAAATTATTTACAAACACATCAAGGAAGTTGCTATATCTGAATTTACTTTTAGCATCTTAATAATATAATCATTTTGTTTTGAGCTTGCAATAACAGGATTCTAATTTGATACCCACTAAAGCCAAATTGATATCAAGCAGTAAAAAATTTAGAAGTCAGTACGCGGATTACTGCAAAAATATAATATAAATATTAGTTTAAATGTATTAATAAAATATATCAACTAGTGGTGTATGGCATCGTGCCTTAAGGCAAATTGCTGGAACTTCCCGTACCGTAATGAAATATTTGAAAAGCTTTAAACGTTTTCAAATATATTATTACAAATACTGTAACTTTCATTATTTTTGCTATCTTGTTTGTTATATCTGAGCAAATCAAATGTAAATCATAAATCAATTTATTATCTTCAGAACATTAACAATCGTCATTTCATTTTGAATTCAATTTCAAAAAAAATAGTTTAGTTGCCTAATTTACACATAATTGAAAAAGTGCTCCCGTATAGTCACAGTCTAAACGCATTTGCAAATAATTCTGTGCGACATTTTTGCTTATACTGTGCTTAGCTTGGCGGCATTTTCACATTTTTCAATAGTTGTTTTTCACAAAATTGGAAAAGTGAACCAGGTACATAAACAGTCTAAACGCACTTGGGTAAACATTTGTACTAGAGTGGCGCTTAGACTGTGCTTAGCCTGGGTCATTTTTTGAATTTTTAATCCAAAATTACAAAAATATTTTTTGGAAAAAAAATTAGAAACAATTTTTTTTTCCAAAAGCAATTATTTTGTTGAAACAAGCAGAAAGTTCTTTGAATCATTCAAATCGGACGCTCAGTTCACTCAAAAACTGCCATTTTTTGCACATTTAGCTTTGTATCTCCGAAACCGCTGGACTTGCCTTTGCCAATTTTTAATCACTACTTCTCCCAATCATTACTAATTGAATGCTTTTTAGGTCATACAAATCCAATACTCCGTTCTTTCAAAAACTCGATTTGTGTTCTCTGCACTCTTTGCTCCGTATCTCCGTAACGGCTGGACCTGCCTTTACCAAAAACTAATCAGCACATCTCCCTAATAATGATAATCGAATGTTTTTTGAATCATTCGAATCGGTTGATACGTGCGCTGACGTAGACGAAAAAATGCGGACATACAAAACACACACACACATATCCATTTTTTCTGAGGTATGCCAAAGTGTTCAGAAACCTTCGAAACGTCGAGAAATGCAAAAATTTTCATTTTTGATTCTCGACCTATTACTATAACTACCCTACGGGATGTTAATAATATCAATATTAGTTTAAATAAAATAATAAAATATATCAAATATAAATAGGATGACCATAATAAAAACTATTAAATGCTAAAATCATATTTTAGGTTTAAATACCCTCACCTTACGATTAAAGCTAGACAGAAAATATGTTACAAGAAATACTGGCGTCATTTGCACCGAGCTTTAGTGATAATTATTTTAATTTATATTAACTATTTAAATACTAATCAATTTTCAAGGAATAACTTACCATCTGAAGTTTGATTTGCATATAGTGGTAAAACCCCGTTAAGACGATCATGCCTTATACGATTTTTTGCACAATGTCCTCAATCGGCACTATGCTCTCTCTCGCATAAGACGCATTTTTTATCAAATTTTTGCGAAATCGTCTTAACAGGGTTTAGTTACTGTACATATAATTATATAGGACCAAATATGACCAAACCAAAAAAAGTTTAAGCATAGCAATCTTTAGATCTATTATTATGTTCTGATAGATGTTCAAAAATATTTGTTTCTATTACAATTTTTTTAAATTTTTTTAGGAATGTAAACTGCATATCCTGCGACAAAGACGTGGTGATGAGAACAGATGAACCTGCGCCTTCTATGCCTGTCCAGGATTCATTGCCTCCTAATATGTCCATGAAACCATACCTGACATACGAGCTGGACGCTGTCAGGAAACAGCAAAGGCAATTACCTGGCAGGAATATGTATCACTTTGAGAGCGCCATCAAGGAGGACAGGAGGCTGAAGAAGGCCTATGACAGGAGCAAGGATGAGGAACTTGCCAAGTTAGATAAATGAATTAGTAGAGTAGAAAATACATAAAGGATAACATTTATGGACCAATTATTCAAAGTCTCCTGTGGTTAAAGATATGGTTTTCTGGGTGCACATATTTTATTTTGACAAACTATGTTCTCTTAATGTTATCTCTCATTGTACTACCAGTCACAACACTGTCGAAAATCTATTAGTTCATCATTCCGCTTTTTTTAATTATAAAAGTAATAAATCAGTACCTACAATTTTACAATACGCTTCGTTATGCCCAAACTGCTGCCATATACGTCATTACACGCAACCGAAGACAACTAATACACTTATAGCAAAACTTAGAATGAAATAAGTGTAATTTTGCATTATAATTATTTATTTTGAAAAATAATGTTATTTTTTTATTTTTAGGATGAATCACTTATGTAATCGATACTGTGGCGGTAGCCACACAGTGACGACACCTCAACAACGTGTCACCAGAATGGGCCACTTCTTGAACCAATGGGGACCTGAAGCAATACAACTAACTGAAGGTACCATCCGAGGATCTGATGGCAAGGTAATTTAGAAGCCAATTTTTGATAAAATAGAAATGTTTTATATGTAATGTTATATTACGGATCTATATTCGTATGAGTTGGTAGTATTAAATAGCTAAAAGGTTATATTTTTCCTATGTGATCAGGAGTTTTGCACATAAAATATAACCTGCAAAATGCACAAACGTCCAATAACTAATTTATCATTAGTACAACTTTCTGTTTTCTCTCTGATAACACATACATTTTTTTTATTTTGGAATTTTGCTTTATTTGTCTCAAGTACAAATATTGAGTTTTACCTAATGTTTCTATTTAAGGCACATAAAACAAATATCCAAATAAAAAAAACAATAAAGGCAACATAGTGGTTGTTCATTCAAGTACATCAAATAAAAATGGTAGTGAATATTTTAATATTTTTATTATTTTCATACTTTTCTTAAAATTAGTAATCTAAATAGAATTGGCAAGATTTATTTAAGTTGTGCCTTTGTGAATATTGTAATAATTTAGTTAATACATTATAAAAATTAAATATCACGATAAATATAGACTGTAAGTTGATAATTTAACACTTTTGTTCTTTTGTTCGTAACCTCTTCACCTTGAATTTTAAATCAGTTTTGTTTTACTCCAATTGAGTCACCGTCTATATATAATATGAACTATTACTTATTTAAATTTTTGATTAACAAATATTATTTAGAAATTTCACTTTGTAAAAAAATATAAAATAAAATGTTGACGTAAATAGCAATAGCGACGTATATAGATGAATATTGTAGAGAGTGTATTTAGAGACAATAAACTAGTACTTGGAGATGACGTGTGTTAATAGAGACGAACGAAGTTAACAAAACCTTATTTAGTTTGAACTAACATATTAATAAAAATAGTTTACTTTAATAATTTGCTTTATTTACTATATATATATATATATATATATATATATATATATATATATATATATATATATATATATTATATATATATATATATATATATATATATATATATACTAGATGACCCTACAGACGTTGCCCTGTAACCATGTCTACAATTTAAAAGTTTCAATTTTTCTGTATTTACCTGTATTTCTATCGATATCCGACGTTATTTTGAAAAAAATAAAATTACACCACTGAGAAGAAATGTCATCCCCCGGGAAGTGGTAAAGAATTCTCAATTATTCTCACTTTTGAACTTGCGAGTAAGATGAACTTAATTCCAAAATTTTAAGCAAATTGGAGCACAGTAAAAAAATTCAGATCCAAAACGCTTCATTTACTGGAGTAAATATTCCGTATCCAATACCAAACATATGAATTTTTGACACAATGAAATTTCTATATAATTTTTTGAATAAGTAAAATTTTTTTTGTACACGACTACATTAGTTAAAAAAAAATTATCAAATTGAAGTATATAATTTCATCTGCCAAACATATACTGTATCTTATATTATTTTAATTTCTGGCACATCAAAGCTGCATTTGGGTAATAATAATGTAGACATTACATTTTTCTAATTCATAAGCATGAATATATTATACTCTGATATTGACTAGGCTCATCAATTCAAGTGATTTGAAATTTCTCGCAAATGACAGTTCTCATTTGTCAAATTGTTTTTAATGTCAAACAATGACATGTCGTTTCTTGAATTTTTTTTTCAATTATTTCTACAATCTAACTATATTTTTATAATCACATGCATTCTAAAAAATCTCCTTAACAAACCTCAGAAAGATTTATCAAAACCCGAATAATCGTTTGGGAGCAGTAACTTCACATACATTATTAGAGAAGAATTGTATATATAAGATAAATATAAATCTGAATTTGTCAATTAAAAATGTTAGCTATATAAAAATATACTATATAAATATAGCAATATTTCTACAACATTACTATATTTTTATAATCATTTACATCCTTGAAATTTTCCTTAACAAACTTCAGAAAGATTTATCAAAACCCGAATAATCGTTTAGGAAGAGTATATTTACATACATTATTACAGAATAATTTTATATATAATAAGATTATGTATGAATCTGAATTTGTTAATTAGAAAAGTTAATAGCTATACGAGGTCTGTTCAAAAAGTACCCGGAATTACTAATAATTAAATTTCGCGGGTCTGGAGTGTCTGATTGTCAAATTTTTTTTTTATTGTGTTGGTATACATGCCCCTAAAGTATGATGAAATTTTCAGCTATATTCACTGTTTACTTTGTCTGCGGTAGTCGCTAAGGTTCGACGTGTTTTTCTGAGCTCGGCGATTTTTACAATGGAAGAATTGAAAAGTCAAAGAATTTGTATTAAATTTTGCGTAAAAAATGAAACAAAGTGTTGCAAAGTGCAAAAATTCACCAGATATGGCTCCGTGTGACTTTTTCCTATTCCCAAAGTTGAAGAGACCCATGAAAGGACGGCGGTTTTCCTCGATTGAAGAAATAAAGGCCGAATCGCTGAGAGTGCTCAAGGACATATCAAAAAGTGAATATCAAGGGTGCTTCGAAAATTGGAAAAAACGCTGGCATAAGTGTATTATATCTGGGGGGGACTACTTTGAAGGGGACCAAATTAATGTAGACGAATAAATAAATATTTTTTTGAAAAAACGAAAATTCGTACAATAATTACGAGAAAGTTTATTAGCACCAGAAAACTGAAATTTTTTATTTTTTGACGTTTCTTGTCATTCTGAATCGTTTGAAGCCAAATGATTTATTTTCATTTCGATCTTTGCTTTACTTTTTATATGTACCTAAGTTGCAAAGAAAAATAAAGCAAATTTTGAAATTATAAGGTGTGTTTTATATTTGATATTATACAAACACGGTGTTTTAACAAATTGTATAATAAAAAAATAATTTTACTCTAGTTCTACAAATCTCGAGAAGAAGTGCCGCCACAGGCACCTCCAGAACCTCCAAAACCAACAAGACATAGTATTGATGTCGATGTCAACAAGAAACCTGGAGGATCACCCAGAACAAGCCAAGGTAATAATTAGAGTTAAATATTTAAAATACTTTCATAAATAATTTTCACTATTTAGTAAATTTTATTAAAAGTCTCCAGTAGAAATAAATCGTGTCCAAAGGGGTAAAAAATCGTGGCGCAATATTCAAACTTTGTTTTTAGATGAACCGGACAAATTTCAAATTATGGAAAATTTGAAAAATTCATGGGAGAACAGTTTTATATGGTTTATTACATATAAAAAACATGTTTCCCGTCTGATTTACAAATCTAATTTTCTTTACATAATTTTTAAATGAGGGCGTAATGGAAGCATATGGTGGACAACCAAGATTCGTTTCTTTTGTATTATCCTCTTTTTTGACGTCTTCATGGATAACCAATTTGGAACCTACTTATGGGTCATTCCAAATTTTTTTTAATAATTTTTTCAACATTTCTACAATGTTAAGACGTTCAGTTATTCTTTAACTTATTAATTAGATATTCTGGTAAATTTTTGTTCATGCAGAGTCTGCATTGTAGATGTATCAAAGCTTTAGTAATTAATTACATAAATGATTAAATGTTCTTAATTTTTATTAAAATTATTATTATAATGTAGGATCATTAACTAAGAAATCTGGTAACGTGTCACCAAAATCTGCATCCAAAACCAAATTAGAATCTGATAAGAAGAGATCATCTACTGGAAGTGCCAACAAAAAAGTTTCACCTGCAAGTTCTCAGAAGGGCGCCAGCCCTAAAATGTCTGCTGTACAAGAAGGTAAATAATAATAATCGAATAAATTAATAATTAATACAATGCCATCAATTTATGTATGCAAAAACAAGAACAATGGTAAAAAATAGTTATAGTAATAATAAACAAGGTAGAGTAAGGATATTTGATTTGTTGTGCTCTCATACCTGGATATACCAACTATTTATTTATTATTATTATTTATTGTTTTTAATTATTTTATTTGCTTGATCCTACATCCTTCTGCATATAACTCTTTTTCATAAATGCTAAAAAATAAATCTGGAAACTCTTACTTCTTATTTCTTGTATTGAAGGTAATACAAAAAAGAAAAAATAACAAGAAGAATGTTTACTTTATTTATAACATAACATTGGAATATATTTTAATCAACTGCGTTGAAATTAACTACAATATTTGAAATTGTAAATTCAAAATAGATTTAAGGACAACTTATTTTTAAATATTTTCTCAGAACTTCTATATCAACTTTATCCATGTAGAACGACAATATTTACCAAGTCGATGCTTTTGCTTTTGCAACATATGGATGGGTTTGATAAAAATAATAATTATCAGATATTATTAAATATAAACACTATATAGATATGCATATGTATTTACAAAAATATTATAGACTAAATTATGAAACGTACTCAAACTATTTTATATCTAATTTAACAATTTCGATGAATTGTTGCATTGACCAAAGTGGATTTTTTATCGAGACAGTTATTGGCGGAGCCCTAGCAACAAAATTTTAAATTTATTTCTCAATTATAATTTTATAATTTGCATACTACTTATTAATTGCAATAAGAGTTTACAACAATCTGTTTTGCTATTGAAATTGTTCAACCATGATGACCCAGGCAGAATTATATGTTTATTTATAAGAAGATCAAATGTTAAACGTCTTCGTCTTATCAATGGACCCCCGCTGATAAATTATTTTGTTCGTGGCATACATTTCTTTGAATTTAATATAAATATTCGATAACTTTTGATTTTTTTGCGAAATTCTTTAGCGGAAAAAATTGATGGAATGTTTTATTTGTTTCAGCTCCGGAACAAGAGATTGCACCGGCTGTATCTCCCAAGGTAAGTAATAAATTTAGAAAAAAATAATAAACAAATATTTATAAAAGTATTTATTTAAAATATTTAGCAGTAAATTAGAATTAAACATAATACATAAATAAAGAAAATTCAAAGCTTCAATAAACAATTTTTAACTTAAACATTTAAAACTGTTCAAACTTTCATCAATATCAGAAAAAAAGAAAAAATAGTTCTTGGAGTGTGTTCATTTAAACCAAGTCTCAATTTTAGTAATTAAAAATTATGTTATTATTGGGTGCGAACTGTGACACAATTTTTTTAGTATTAATATTAATATTATTTCAAAAACAAAAAGCAATGTCTAAATGATATATTTAAGACTAAAGTAATAGACTATGTAAGAATTAAAATTATCATATTTTTCTTTACAAGTGTGCTAAACAAAAGCTAGATTCACCCCTAATATTTTCTAAAATATGAAATTGGCTTTTTTATAAAAATATGTTATCTGTTTATTATAAAAGTTTTCTTTCTTAAATAATTAATATTAAAATTTTTTAATACAATATAATTAAATTGCATTGTATTTGGTTGCGTTCAAAGTCAGAAAATTAAATTAATATATTACGCGTTTTTTTGTTCATATTATTTTTTCAATCGACGTTTATTTTTACTAAATACAACGCAGAATTAAATATACAGTTTTTTTTTAAAAAAATATTTAAAATGTTGTAATAATTATAAAATTATAAACATAAATTTATTTTATTTCGTGCGTCAGCAAATGATTTTTCTCGAACATCGTACGATCATAGTTTGATAACCGTTTAATGTTTTTTTTGTAATTTTATTATCAGTAATTTGCAATTTAATTTGGCAATAAAATTACTCATGTTGATAACAAATTTTAAAAAATCAGTGATAGTTTATTTTGAAAAATTACGCATTAAATCAAATTATAAATACGTATGAAAATCAATTAAAAATATTTAGAAAAAATGTTGAAAGGAGGAAAAGTTCTGAAAATATAATTTAATTTTAGATCAAACCATAATCCAATAGTATAAAAAATGTGACAATTCAAAGAAAATAATTGCGAAAAATGGATAAAAGTGAAAAAATGTTTAAAAAAGAGTTAAAATTAAGACATTATTAATAAAAATAAATCAAAAACTATATTGGGAAAAATTGTTCCAGTAAACAAAAAAATTAAAAACAGTAAAAAAGTTCAGAATCTTTAAAAAAATTATTTGAAAATAAATGAAAATATAAAAAATAGTACAGGTATCAAAAGTGAATAAATAAATGAATAAATACATAAAAATGAGAAAATTATTATAAGAATAGGAAAAAAAGTAAAGAAATTAAATTTTATATATATATAAATAATATTACTATGTTCCTGCTTTCACTAAATAAATTAAATAATTAAATAAAAGGGTTAAAGCCTATATAGAAAAATAGAAAAAATCTAAAAAAAATACAGTGAGATATTGAACATACTGAAAACATATTTAAAATAAAGAGAATGATTAAAGAAAAATAAATAATAAAACCTTTTAGAAAAGTTGAAAAAATGATAAAACTAGGAAACCTAAAATCCAAAATCGAATAATTATTGATTTTGATTCTAGTAAAATGCTTTTAAAGAAAGCAAATAATAAAAGAACAGAAAGTTTTTGAAAAATATGTAAATCTATGAAAAGAAAAGATAAAAATTGGAAAACTAACTAAAATTCAAATTTTAGATAAAATATTAGTACAAGGACAATATCTAATTTAACTATTGATACGAGAAAGCAAAAGTTTGGCAATAAAGCAAATGTTAAAAAACATAGAAAATCAAGAAAAAAATATTGAAGTATATGAAAATCTATATATAAGATGAAAAATTAAAAACTGACCAAAATTCTAAATCTAAATAATATATTGGGATAAGTACAATGGATAGTTAAATAATAATAAAAAACATAAAATATTAGGTGAATATGAAAGTATAAATTAAAGTAAGGGTTGAAAAACTAACAAAAAAATAAAAGTTTTAAGAAAAGGTAAAATGTTAAAAAATTTGAAAATAATCTAAATAAAATGATGATACAATGAAAATATTTATTTAAAAAAAATGATAAAAATACTAAAAAAGACAAGGTAAAGATCTAAATAAAATATTGAAGAGACAATATTTATAGAAAAAGCAAAAAAATATAGAAAACAAAAAGAAAGTTGATGTAGAATTTAAAAACCTTGGAAGTAAGAAAGAGTTGAAAAATTAATAAGAAATCCAGAAAACTAATTAAAAAAATCAGAAGTCCAGAAAAAAGCAAGAAGTTTCTTTCGAACCGAAAAGAAATTTTGTGCACATAATATTATTTATTTACTATAATGCCTTATTTATTTACACAGTTGTTGCATTAAAAATTTGCATTCGAGTTAAAACTATTTATTATTTTGAATTGTTTGAAAACAAACACTCTGACGCACGTTCCAATTATTTTGCAAATATATTCCCAACGTCTTTGTTAAAATGCAATATTTCTCAACTTTAATAATGACGTCTTGAATATCATATCAATTTGCAATCGTAATTTAAAAACGTAATTTAAAACGCGAAAAATGATGTTTTAATGTAAATGACGCAAAACTGAATTTCGAAATATCGACTGAAATTAAAATTTTTGAACTCTTGAAATTAATGCAAAATGACCCATGTAACAAATTATTTGATGAAGCAAAATTCCTAAAGGTTTATAAATATTTTCTTCTTTTTTAAATCTGATTTCCAATTCTAATCTTGTTTTCGTTTTACTTAATGTATGTTATTTGATTGGCAATAAAACTATGCAGAAAAAATTTTCAAATTCTTCAAAAACTTTTTACTCCTACTTTCATGCAATTTTAAAACAAATTCAAATTTTATTCAATTTTAACTCAACATTTTAAATTCTATGTCATTACCAAGATTCGATCCGAGGATCCCTGCCATATGAGTCAGACACCATTCTAACTGACTTACACAAATAAATAATCTAATTTTTATTTTATTTTATTTTTTCAGAGAAGTAAAACATCCCCAGCAGAATCAGTAACAAAAGCTCAAGTCTCTGGAGAAGCTGTAGCTGCTGCAGCAGCAGCTGAAGAACCTGCAGAAGCAGCACCTGCTGCTGAATAAATACAAAAAATCTGCTGAAATGCTGAAATTGACCACAATGGTTTGAGACAAAAAAAGACAAGATAGATATTTTTTTTAATAATAATTTTTTTTTTTAATTTTTTCTATAGATTTGTACACAATTTTTGTAATAGCTCTTTATTGATTTCTTACTAAATAGTTTTTAAATGAATATAGAACAATTAATATGAAAATGATAAAGGATTTTTTTTACAGACACACTGGGTTTTTTTTGTATAGCGAAGGAAATACCTTTACGCATTCCAGACTTTTGTCTGGGTATGTCAGACTCAATACCGCCTGGGTACAATACCGACTAAAACATCCGCTTTGCCCTTGAGCATTACTTTGTGGGGGGAGGATCTAGAATGTTATCATACTTACCTAGACACACAGAGGGAAGTTATAAATATATGTGCCAATATATTTTAGTAGACATTTGATAAAAATATTTACAGGTATGTGACCAATTTTTTTAAAAATTTAAATGCATGCCGCATGTAAAATGGACAAAATTTTTAGTTAAATTTTGTTTATTTGGTGGGGCTTCAAATATTTTTAACTTCCCGTAGAGTAGTTATAGTAATGGGCCGAAAATCGAGAATGAAAATTTTTGCATTTCTCGACGTTTTGAAGGTTTCTGAACATTTTGGCATACCTCAGAAAAAATGGATGTGTGTGTGTGTTTTGTATGTCCGCATTTTTTCGTCCACGTTTTCGGGCGCACGGATCAACCGATTTGAATGGTTTAAAAAGCATTCGATTTCTATTGATAAGGAGATTTGCTGATTAGTTTTTAACGAAGGCAGGTCCAGCCGTTACGGAGATACGGAGCAAAGTGTGCAGAAAATACAAATCGAGTTTTTGAGAGAACGGAGTATCGGATTTGTATGATTCAAAAAACAATCAGTTCGTAATGACAGGGAAAAGTGGTTATTAGTTTTTGGCAAAGGTAGGCCCAGCGGTTTTGGAGATACAGAGCTAAATGTGCAAAAAATGGCAGTTTTTGAGTGAACTAAGCGTCCGATTTGAATGATCTAAGAAACTTTCTGCTCGTATTGACACAACAATTGCTTTTGAGTATAAAAAAATATTTTCTCTTTTTTTATTTTTCATAAAATATTTTTGTACTTTTGGATTGAAAATTCAAAAAATTGCCCAGGCCAAGCACAGTCTAAGCGCCATCCTGGTACAAATGTTTACCCAAGTGCGTTTAGGCTGTTTACGTACTGGAGCACTTTTTCAATTTTGTGAAATCTATTGAAAAATGTGAAAATGCCGCCAAGCTAAGCACAGTACAAGTGAAAATGTCGCACAGAATTATTTGCAAATGCGTTTAGACTGTGACTATACGGGAGCACTTTCTTAATTTTGTGTATTAAATGTAAAAAAAAATCATATTTTCAAAAAAGTAAAACTCTTGCAAAAATTTCAAAATGCTCGAAGATCTATTTTTTTCAGTTTGCAAAAAATTTTAAAGTTTTAAAATTAAATTTATAATTAAATGATGAAATTTCGTCAATGATTTCGGAAACACAGATCAAAATAAATGCCTTAAAAAAATTCCAATTTTCAAAAAAGTCCATTTTTTGCAAAAATTTCAGAACCTAATTTTTTCAGTCTTCAAAAAAAATCAAAGTTTGCAAATATTGTAATTTTTGGTACGGGAAGTTCCAGCAATTTGTCTTAAGACACGATGCCATATCCTTCAAGTCTTGTTATATTATTTTGTAAACTAAACTTTAATTAACAATTTTTCAGATTTTTAGAAGTTTATGTCTTCAACAAAATGCAACTTGCACCTTTACAAAGTTTTACATCTTTTTTTATTTTCCATAAAATATTTTTGTAATTTTGGATTCAAAATGGAAAAAATTACCCAGGCTAAGCGCAGTCTAAGCGCCACTCTGGTACAAATGTTTACCCAAGTGCGATTAGACTGTTTATGTACTGGAGCACTTTTCCAATTTTGTGAGAAAATTATTGAAAAATGTGAAAATGCCGCCAAGCTAAGCACAGTGTAAGTGAAAATGTCGCACAGAATTATTTGCAAATGCGTTTAGACTGTGACTATGGAGCACTTTTTCACTTTTGTGTAAATTAGGCAACTTTTTTTTTTGAAATTGAATTCGAAATGAAATGACGATTCACGACGAATGTTCTTCTGGAGATAAATTGATTTTTGATTTATGATTTACATTTGATTTGCTCAGATATAACAAGATAGCAAAAATAATGAAAATTACAGTATTTGTAATCATATATTTGAAAACGTTTGAAATTTCTCGAACATTTCGTTACGGTACGGGAAATTCCAGCAATTTGCCTTAAGGCACGATGCCATACACCACTAGTTAAATTTTTATGAGAAGAAAATTTACTTTTCTACTTCATCTAATTTCCATATTAATTTCTATCTATTTATCGTCATGTCAATGAATTATTGATGACATAAATATATGTATTTACGAATGCACTCTGTTTTTCAACGTAATCTTGAGCAATGTCATTGACGTAATATTATCTTTAGATCATCAGTTAAAAAATTTGTAAATATAGTTCGAGTAATTACTTTGACAAACAGACAGATGTATGATTTATACATGCGATTTAGAATTTGAACGAACATCTGTAAAATGTAGAGATAAATTTAGAATAGAGTTTTTTTGGGATCCTTGATTTTTTTAGAAATGTGATAGTTTTGTACGTTTTACCTGCTACTTTAGTAAATCAATTTGTCTTTACTAGAAATTTTGCAAAAGCACGTACTCCAAGTCAATGATACAGAATTTAAATTTACTATTCATTTTGTTTCTCTTATTTATTGTAAATTAAAAATTTAAAGTTCTCTTGAATTTTGTGGCCCAAAAATTGGTATAAGAAAATTTTAATTTCAATTTTTACCTTTTCTAATTATAAGTAAATTTTGCCTTCCATAGATGCTTTGTAACATTTAAAAAAAAATGAATATCATTTGATGAAACTTACTTAAGATTATATAAATTTTCTTCTATTTTATTCTAAGATGTTTCTTTTTAACTCAGTTTTTTATTTTCTACAAAATCGTGTTTTTGAGAGATATTTTCTATCAGTTTGTCTATTTTTTGTTATAAGTAAAAAAATTCAATGCAGATTTTAATTAAGATTTTTAATTAATTTTGCACCTTTCATAGAGTAAGTTACACGTGTTATTTTTTTGTATAATTGCATTTAATTAGTTCAATACATAAACATAGACTTTACATATAATAGTATGTCTGGTAATATTTTAGATAAATATTTTTTTCTATTTTTTTCGTACATGTCCTTACAAATTATGTGCACGTTCTTACATTTTTTTACTTGAAGAATAGAAACTGCATAATATCATAGTTAAAATATATATTAAATATAACAATAAGTTGTAAAAAATCAATAGTATTAAATTAAAATGTTATTAAATATACTAATCCATATTGCGATAGTATTATAGTATCTCCACATAAATTTATTTATTTTTTTCAAGTCTAGTAATAAGTAATGAATTGTGAATAAAAAAGCTAACTAAGTTGCCTTAGTCAGAACAATAATTATCTGAGTAGATTCAAAAAAGTTAATAGTAGTAAAATACATACTATATCTTTGTCACAATTTTATTAAAAAAATGATCTGGATGACTGGATTATTTTTCTTCACTTTTTCATAAAATTTTGCTCCAAATCATAAAATTGCGAAAACTAGTCTTTTCTGACAAAAAATAATTTCTTTTTCTTGAAATGAATACAATATGATGGGATTAATAAAATCATTGCTTTCAAAACTTTTCAAAAATTGGTAATGAAAAATTTGCATATCTACGTTTGAAAGATTTCTGAACATTTTGGCATAACTTATAATTAGAAGAAATTGATGTATGTGTGTGTATGTGCGGGTACAAATTTTCGTAGATGATTTCGAAAGCACGGATTCAAAAAACAGTTTTCTTGAGAAGACGGAGTGAAAAAGATTCTAGATTTCCAAATAAACGATTTTTTTATCGAAATTGAAATGTTTTACATTTCCACACGTTTTGAAGGTTTCTGAACATTTTGGCATACCTCAGAAAAAATTGGTGTGTGTGTGTATGTATGTATGGATACAATTTTTCGTCCACGTTTTCGGGCGCACGGATCAACCGATTTGAATGGTTCAAAAAACATTTGATTTCTATTGATAGGGAAATGTGCTGATTAGTTTTTCACAAAAGCAGGTTCAGCCGTTTCGGAGATACCGAGCTAAATGTGCAAAAAATGGCAGCAATATTCCTCGAACATTTCATTACGCAACGGGAAGTTCCAACAATTTGCCTTAAGGCACGATGCCATACACCACTAGTTTTTTTTCAAATTATCGAAATTTCAAAAATTTTATAAAATATTCCCTCAAGGCATAATGCCATGCACTGCTAGTTTCAAATTTATTAACATAACATTCTGCTCAATAATTCACTAAAATTACAATATCAAAAATTTTAAATTTAATTTAAAATTTCTAATAAAAATATAAAATATTTCGTAGGGTGATAATAAAGTTAAAATTTTTGAAAAATTTGAAGCATGGATTCATTAAATTGATATATTTATTTTCAATATATATAAATATTCTAATTTTAATAAAACGTTAACCAAATTAAAAAATTTCAAAATTCTAAAAGAAAGAAAAAATGCCTCGTTTATAATTTTTTGACAATTTGTTTTAGCATGCTTTCATGCAAATGTGCCATTTTGTCTAAAATTTGGTACAACAGTGAATTTAAAATTCATATTCGATAAATTTGCGAATTTGTTTACTATTCTGATTTGAATTTGTAAATTATTTATTTCTAATAAGTTTCTTATTGATATTGATATCGTCTGGATCTTTGTCAATCACAACATAACGACTCCCTCGCACGGGTCGTTAGTTGCCAACAATTGAAAGATTATAAGAGGCATTTAATTTGTAAAAGTCACTCTCTTCATACTTATTTATCTATGGCCACT